CAATAAGACACTCACAGCTACTTCTATACCAAATTGTAGCCCAATATCTGTAAAAACTAACAAATTATAGCTATTTTTGTATTGGGTAAGCTTGATTAGCTGAGGTGGCCATCTTGAACTGATTTGACTCCTGATTCTAATAATTTGTAAAAGTAGTCCCAAAGCTTATTTTCTGAGAGTTTTGTTAAAAACCCTCAAGCGGTTCTTGATATATTTTGCTAACGGACGTAAAGAGTTAAGTTAGACAGTTGATGCCAAGGATTCAAAATAAACATGTCTAGTGTTGTGTTGTGTTTTAAGGTGTTAAGGGTGAATCTGAGCTACTTCCACACCAAATTTTAGCTCAATATCTGTACAAAGTAATGAGTTATATCTATTTTTGTGTTAGTTAAGTTTGATTAGCTTTGGTGGTCTTCTTGAATTGGTTTGACTCCAAAATTTAATCAGTTGTACAATGAGTCCCAATGCTTATTTTCAGAGAGTTTCATTAAAAACCCTCCAGGGGTTCACGAGATATTTCGCTAACAGACACAAAGAATTGAGTCGGACAGTTAATGCCAAGGTTTTAAAACAAATATGTCACGCAGTGTTTTGTGCTTCAAGTATGTGTTAAGGGTGATCCTCGGCTACTTCCACACCAAATTTAAACTTAACATCTTTAACACTTGCTGAAATAATCTGTTGTTTTAATCAACGTATCCAAACCAAAACTTCTACAGACGYCAAACACGGAGCTGAATGCCCGAGTGAGGCCTAAAAACGTTTTCAGGACCGCTGCACTTTGCACCRGTGTGATTGTGAGCTGCTGCTGCCGGGTGAAGGATGGGGGGGTCAGGTCTCCGTAGATCAATAAGCAGAAAGCGAGAGAGAGAGAGAAAGAAAAGGAGGAGATGCAGTGATTCTCTGCAGGGCGAAACAGATTATTAATCCGCTCTGACCTCACCTGTCCCCCCGGCTCCTCTGAACGCTCAGTAAAGATGGATCAGTCCACGGMGCCTGTAAGCCCCCCCAGCTTTCTGCTCCACGACTGGGTGACAGGCTGCTGATTGCAGGGGCAGGAGATGGAAGAGTGCCCAGCTGGGGCGGGCTGCTGCGGACCTGCGAGCCAGACTGAGAGGGCCTTCTTGTATTCACAGGCTGATGGGTGAACTGGTCCTCAGAAGGGCCTGAATCATMTGCCTCGCCTGCTGAAAAGGCTCCGCTGAATTACTGTTGTTTACAGACGGGGGAGGCTTTTCATTTGAGCCTCTTCAGGCCCCTGAGTAAGCAGACATCACATCCTCTGCTTTTTTTGTTCTCCGTGTTTTGTGCTGCAACAGCTTAAAAAACAACAACAACCAAAAAAAAAACAAAAAAACAACGGAACCAGACGGTGCATTTAATTGAAAAAGCTGCAGCAGACGTAGGTGTGTTTGTTGGAAGTGGAATAGATCAACTCGGTGCTCTGTCATGATGGTGCAACAAGCRTTCGTTCTGGTGCTCAAGAACTGTTTGAACCTGATTAGAGGCTGCTGATTAAGTCGTTGTGGTTCTCTGATAGTTGRATGAGCCTGAGAAAGTAAACTCAGTCTCCACAGCAGGTTATCACTAATTCTATGTGCATTATGGCTGTGTATTGGGAAGAATTTGGCGATACGATACATATCATGACAGAGGGGTCACGATACGATATATCCCGATATATTGCGATACTGTAAGCAAGGCGATATATTGTGATTTTTTTGTCCAAAAATTCTATTAAATTAAAAACCTCTTACTGGGGGGGAATAAAAAACCAAAATTCATTGTCTCAGAAAATTCTAATATTACAGAGACATACTTTTGATTCATTTAGCTGTGTTCTGCTTTGTATGTATTTTATTTGTTTCATGTTTCTTATTTCATCCATGTTTTCAATTATTAGACTAAATTTGCCAATAAATAGTTTGAAAATATATTTTTTGCAGCTTTTAGTTTTTAATATTAATTT